CTACTATTACTACTACTACTGCTACTGCTGCTGCTACTACTACTACTACTGCTGCTGCTGCTGCTGCTACTGCCACTACTACTGCTACTACTACTACTACTACTACTACTACTACTACTACTGCAACTGCAACTGCAACTGCAACTGCAACTGCAACTGCAACTGCAACTGCAACTGCAACTGCAACTGCAACTGCTACTACCTCTCCTGCTGCTGCTGCTGCTGCTGCTGCTGCTGCTGCGACAATGACGACGATGACGACAGCAACATCAGTCTGGTCAGCTTTGTAACATAGTACTCCGAATGACACCGATTGATAAAGACAACTAGTGGGCGTACTAGCAGGTGCTGTGGCAGCAAAGAGAATGTCAATGGTGGAATAGCAGTCGCATTTGACGAAACAGCTGAGTCTCACAGCTCAAAAACCCCTGATGCAAAAAACTGTTTGCTGTCAACTTCTGGAAACCGCTGCCCAACGGAAATTCTGGAGCCAGCCGTTTGTGCAGAAATTCTTTGGACTAGTAATGCTGTGGTGTCCGTCACGGCTTGGCATCTCCACCTCTGGCTTTCCGATGCCTAGCGGTCTTGAACCAGCACATTCTCCATCCACGGTCTAAGCTCTGAGCCGTTGAACACGGAGAGCCGAACAAACAGAAGCACAGCTTCGCTTGTCTATGCGTCGGAAAATGAGGAGCGGCTCACGCAGGAAGCAGTGCCGCGACCTGGGCACTCATCAGCTTTTATTACGAGCCTTTGCAAACATTACAGCAGTAGCAGTGGTAGTTGTAAGATTTCTTCTAGCAGCGGTGTCGTCGGCGGCGGCGGGTCGCCATCGTGATATCTTCAGACCAGACAGTGGCCGAGCAAGCCAACACTCTCTCCCACCCTCCCAAACCCAAAGAACAAAGAAGCTTGAACACGCGGAGAGGCTTGTTGGATTTAGAGGATGAGTTGTCGGATGCCAATTCTCGGCACATTGCGCATGAACCGCAAACCCATCTACCCAGCCAAGTACACCGGTGCATATCGCTTGCAAACTTCTCTTCGCCCCAGCATTTACAGGAAAGCGCGCGACCCTCCTCGTGCTGCCATGGTGCCCATTGTTCGTGCAAAACCTAGCGGCAAGGTATGTGACAGATCAAAATCTTCTCGCACCAAGGACATAAAGTGCATTCCGGAGCACAATTAGCACAACACTGCTGAATGTTTTGCTTGCATCCGCACGAGACATCTGAACCATGTCCATCTGCGGGTTCCATGCCCCAAGCTCGTTGGCATTCACGGTTAGCACCGAGCGTGTTCTGGCTCCGTTGCTTCTTGCTAGCATCCTTCCACATCATTTTCCTCATGCAACCTCGCTTCTAACACCAACACGAACAATGCTTTGCTTCACATGCTCACCACCACAAACACCACTAGGACTGCTGCGATGACTACTCCCTCCCACTACTGCCAAGTAATGTGCACCTGTATCTGGCAGTGGTGGCTTTCACAAGTGAGATGCATACACAGGGCTGTCCTCGATAGAGAGAGGCGGTATTTGGCGGTTGCTGGGCTGGAGCGTTCGAGATCGTGCTGAATCGCTTATTGGGGATCAGTTGGAGAGGCGACGAACACTTTCCAGATGCTGAGTCGAGTCTTGAAAAAGGACTTTGCGGTTCGGGTCACTCACTCTATATGTGTTCTGGCCAATGGCTCCCCTTCAAGGGCTGCAAAGACGGACTGACCCTTGCCAAGACAGCGCAAAAGGTGTCTGCCACATCAGACGACTTCAAAGGTCAACATTCCAAACCTGGCCTCCTTTGGTAGCTCGCGGGAATTGTCTGAGGCGGATGTCACCTCGCAAATGTGAGATGCAGGTGGTTCGTTTGGTGTTGCAAGTTTTTTGCCTTCAATGTTACTGTCCTCCAGCTTGGACGATCTTGCGGCAATGCCCGCGAGCCAAGGACGCCACTTACCTCTCAGATCCTCTCAGCTCACTTACTTACTGTAATCGTCGGCAGCCCGGCATGGCAACGTTCCAAGCTTCACTTGCGATAGCACTCCACAACATCATGTGTGTCTTCCTGCCAAGAGTCTCAGCGATAGCAGCAGGTTCGCGCTGTGGCCGTCCTCTAAGCACACATGGCGAAGAAGTTAAGCACTTTCATCCTCCTCCTATCCCTCCTCCTCCTCCTCCTCTCCTCTTCCTCCTCCCTACTTCTGTCCCTCCTCCCCCGTCTCCCTCTTCGCCCTCCTTCTCCTACTCGTCCTCCTCCTCCTCCTCCCCAAAAACAAGTACTACTTCTTCTTCACCTGCTACTACTAGCAGCTGCAGCTGTTACTGCTGCTATTATTATTACTACTACTACTACTACTACTACCACTACCACTACCACTACCATTACCACTACTATTACTACTACTACT